TCCTCCTCCTCCTCCTCCTCCTCCTCCGCCTCCTCCTTCCCACTTCCCCTTCTCCTCCCCTTCCCATCCCTCTCCTCCTCCTACTCTTCAACCATCTGTTTTGCATGTGTGTTGTAGCGGTTAGGTGCTTGGCCGTCGCACGCAGAAGACCTGAGTTCGATTCGATTGTGAGGATATTTTTTTAATTGATTGCATATCAGCTCCTTTCAGCTGGGACGATGTTTCCCTCTCAGCCCGGATTTGCCATTACCAGCATTGTCGCGCAGTCCGCCTCTTAAAGTGATACACCTACATCTTAAAGAAAAAAAAAAAGGACAACCTCCTCTTTCATTTTATGTAGAATTATTATGGAGTGGCGTAGACTACATTGTGTGCAAAGAGCAGGAGCAGGGAACATATGGACCGAATACTGAGCCTACACACTTCTCTCTGTGGGCCTAGACTGAATATATAGAAAAGTTTACATATTGAACAAAGCGTCAGTCGCAAGATCTATTATTGAGAGTAGATAATGAAGGGCGCATTTTTTTTCCAGACTGAACCATCTTGTGGTGTTCTGTTTTTGCTTGCTTCTATGGTGGCGTGCGTGGTTTACTCGTCTTCAAGGTAGTAGATTATTACAGATAAAATCTTTTGCGAAAGAGACCATACTGATTAAAGGTCAAAGTTTATTATTTCCGTTTTCTGTCTGAAAATAAGTGTACACTGACAAAGCCAGATATTCGTTTCGACCAGATTATCTTGACCCGACTAGTTGTCTATGAGTTCTCCCCGCTTAAAAGTAAGGTTCTGGTTCGAGTGATAACGTTCTGCTCACAAGTTCCTGGTTTATGTACTAGTGTCATTTAAAAAAAAAAAAAAGTTTCGTAGTTTTACTAAAAAGCAGTAGTTACAATTTACTTTTTTCTGGACACGCGAGACATTGTGAAGAGGATTCGAGATTACTCTTCAGACAAGACAATGTTTCGTTCGTAGTTGTGTTTCACCTTTCTGTACTTTGGCTTTGGCGAAACCCTATATTCTGCTGACCTGTCCCTGCTTTATTTTGTATTTAGTGTCGCTTTTGAACTGGCTATATCAGGTCTGTAATCAGGTGGTCTTAAAACCTTTTTAAAAAAAAAAAACTGGGAGGGGGTAGAAGAGTCTATTGATGTGAATGTATATTGCGCTTTTAATGAATTGTAAGATAGTGGAGGAGAGGGGGGGTGAGGGATGAGGAGAAAGAGAGAGAGAGAGAGAGAGAGAGAGAGAGAGAGAGAGAGAGAGAAAGAGAGAGAGAGAGAGGGAGAGGGAGGGAGAGAGAGAAGGGGGAGGGGGATATAGAGAGAAGAGGTATTGTGAAATAGGCCAGGGACGAAAAACTGTGGAAAAATTTAGGCGAAAAATTGGCTCAAAGATCTCGTTCATGTGTTCATGCTAAAACGCGTATTTTGTCATGCGTATTCGAAAATGAGCTTTCTGTATAACGCAACTTCTCTTATCTCTTCTCGTTCCTCGTTATCAACTGTGAACCACACCCATGGCCTACAAACAAAAAGGTTTGGTAGCGAATAAAGCCCATCCTATCTAAACAAATATGAATTATAGATTTTTTTTAAAATACTTAAAACTGAGTGGCATAGTGCCAACCTGCACTGTTAACTTTTTATAATTTTTTGCCGTACAAATAATAATAATATGTATACAGAAACTGCTTGTCAACAGTTTTACTAATTGGTGAAAAATGACGTACACTTTACGACGCTATACCATGAGAGTTGACGCACACACGTGTAGCGCCATTTCGGACCACTGTCCTTTGGAGTAGAAAGAACGTGTATTACATTGTAGTTAGAATTTTAGCGATCTGTCTTTTCGCTAAGATCAAATTGTAGTATCTGTTCTTGACTTTTGGGCCTTGTGCTTGAGTACAAAGCACGACAGATACTACAGAAGCTAATTAGGTTTTAATTTGTCTCAATTATCACCTGTGGATGATATACGTCCGAGTAAAAAAAAATTTTATAGCAGAAAAAAAGTATCTAATAGAGGGTATTCCATGGGAAAGAAGAGTTTGAGATTGTACCACTGCAACTTGCGGAGTAATGACGGGAAAGAGTTTCTCTTAGGAGTTCAAAATTTTACACATTCATTAGGGAAATCTTTTGTGGAAACACTGAGGAAATGTGGGTTCCCTGCCTCATGGCAACAACGATGTTGTCCGCAACAACGACTACAGCTGTAAAAATGAATGATAACAGCAAGAACTGTAAAAACAATCAACAACAACAATAACAACGTCAACAACAACGCAAAAGAAAAAAAAAACCGGTAACAGTATCACATGAAATAATCGTAGCTGCCAGGCATGCCTCTGGAGCAAAAGTGACACGTCAGCAGAATACAACTACAATGTCAACAACTACACAACAGAACAGGGACATCAGCAACACCAACAGCAGCAGCAAAAACAAACACAATAATAACAGCTACAACAACAACATCATCATCAACATCAACTTCAACAACACTAATGACAACAACAGCTTGAAAATTCCATTTTATGTTGTTGTTTTTTAAAATTTCCTGTCAGTTTCCGACCCGCCAATAGACTTATGCGGGTTTTTTAAAGTCGCCACTTAAAAAAAATTTCTGTTTTATCTTTTTGTCCATCGAATATTCCCCAGCAGTAAATGTCCATTATTGTTAGGTAGTTATTTTACTCAAGCTTCACTCAGAATAAACCATATCCCTTGTCGTTCGTGTCTACAGGTGACCCAGTTCTGGAAGAACCTGTACTCTTACATGCCTCGCATCGACCCTGAAAGATGGTGCTCTATCCTGACTCCTGGACAGCTGGACTGGCTGAACGACATCACCCACAGCTATGTGGCGCAGGTGGAAGCGTGTGACGAGGACACGAACCCACCGTCTGTCAACACCAACCAGGTATAGGATCGTGCTGTTTGTTGTGGGTTTGGGTTCTACATATTTGTTTGCGTATTGAACCTCCAAAGTATCGCAGTCTCAGCTTACTTTACTAGGGTAGTCTATACTATACAGACCAAAGAATACCAAAACACGGTGGATGCTCTGCATCATGGTGTGTGGACCAGTTTAGTGGTTAGTCACTTGCTAACTGCCACATATTCCCAACACTGCTGCTACTGCTACCATCAATGTCAAAGCTACTCGTTGAAGGGATGCTCACAGCTTTTATATGTATATATACACATAATATACATATACACATTGAGCTACTGTTGATTAGGACTAGAATCGTATATGTGTATACTAGATAAAGTCTTAATCTTAGCTTTTTGGTGGCTTAGCTTATTTTAGTTTTCTCTGCCCTGTTCACTTGCACCCTGGAGATGCGGGCCCACCGATGTCATGCTATAAGGTCACATGCAACAGGAAGTACTAGATTACATTTCACTTGCAGCATGGATAATCCTGAACTGACATGTGCTTATAATTTGTGTGTATGTTTATATACAAATGTATTTATATCTTTTTTAAATAAATGATAATTTACATAAACTCTTTATTCTTCAGATGGAAATCTGGCCTCCCAGGGGTGAAGACACCAATCACTGGAAACATTTCCAGGAACGAGTGGCGAGACAGACCTATGCTGAAGCACAGTTTGTGCTCAAGTTGCCAGGTAAGACATCCATGCATTTCATCAAAAACTGGATATACACGACAGTCACTCCCAAATAAAACTATCCTCCATAATCATCTCTGAAAGTGTTATGTTTTGCTTCTTGTGCTAGTATCTGACAATCTCTTCTCCTTTCTATAAGTATGTACAGGCTACATTTTCCCCTTAAAGTAACGTTCTGTGCCTTCACTCTTTTTATTCTTTTAAACATGTTATATTCTTTGTATTTAAAATATGTGCATAGCAAAATTCATACATTATGAAAAGATTTCCATGTCATTCCTATTTCGCCATGTGCATGCTAAACTGTATTTGCTACCTCAAATAAGAATTTATTCATTTGAATGCTGAATGGATGAATTTTATCTTTTTGGTAACCACTATGTTCTGTTTACACAGGTATGGACAAAATTCACCCAAAAGATCGTGTGAAACTGGGTAACAATACACGTCTGTTTGGCAACACTATTTTGATGGCATCGCGGGAGTGGTTTGATCCAGTGAGAAAAAAGTTCAAATTTTTCTGGAACTGGAAGTTACCTCAGGAGCACCCACTGAGTGCGTTCCGCAGCAGGATTGTGAAGACGGGAAGTCGTATCTTCAACCTGCACATGGACAGAACAGAAGTAGCTCTCCTGTCTGCGCTCAACATCATGAGTCCTGGTGAGTTTCTTCCACAATAATTAAAAAGAGTACTCTTTCATTATTTGCCTTCTAGGTTTTTCACATGTTCAAAAATGTTTCTACTTTGCTGTTTTTGTTCCCCCAACTTATTATCCAGTCTCAGTATCTGATGTTGCTTGCTCTGGCCCATGTCCTATCTCCATGAGCTGTCTCTATTTTGATTAATCTTCCTCTTTTGCATATGTATGTAGGCCTATATATACCGTCGAACCTGCCCTGCCGGCCACCTCTGTAAGACGGTCACCTGTACAAACGGCCACTTTCTATTTCCCCCCTTGCGTTTTTTCTATATAATTTAACTGTGTAAAACGGGCACCTGTCCAACGCGGCCGCGGCCACCATATTTTAACATACAACCCCTATCACACTGAGCAATAACACCTGTCTTAGACGGCGACCTTAGTGGCTCCATTACATTTTGTCATAAATTGTGCATTGACCCCTGGCGTTGTGGGCGAGCCGTCATAATTTAATCACCTGTCGTTGTTGTTAGGTAGTCCCTCCAACTGATCATGTTGCGTAGGCCCCTCCCACTGTTGACCAATAGGTACCAATTTCCAGCTGCTGGCGAGGGAAGCGTGTGATCCCTTATAACCCATAAGCCCCGCCCAGAACTCATACTCAAATCGTAAGTGAGATGAGTGGTCACTGTTTACCCAGTCTGTAACAAAGTAACAATGGACGTCAACATGGACTTGTGACAGAAGCGTCGCTCGTTCTTCGAGTGGTGGCGACCCATATGTTTTTTTTACCATAGCACTCGGTCGTCCTTGTCTGACACATTTCGTTTTATTGTCACCCTTGCACAAAATCAGCAACAAAATAAAAATAACAAACAAAATACAAACCAACAACAACAAAAACAACAATAATGCGGCTACTTTCGATTGGGAGTAGGGTTTGTTTTCTTCATCTTGATTAGTCCTGCTTAATACGGCCATTTTTCTCATTGACAATGGGTGGCCGTTTTACACAGGTTTGACTTTTTAAACAAATCTGTTAGTCTCTCTGTATTTCACAGTCACACACCCCCACCTTAACCCCACCCCAAACACTTAGGTGTGAAAATAAAAACTACGATCTAATATTTTTGCATAGAGGCATAAGCTCATGTTGTCCTTTGTCTCTTTTCAGAGAACTCAACATTCCAGAACTTGCCTCAAATAACGGAGCATACCCAGACCCTGATGAAAGTTCTCTGTTATTATTTATCCAGTAAGTGAACTTAAGTTTAGCTAAAGACATCATCACCATTATTGCAAGTAAAATGGCTTAAGCCTACTTTTTTTTTAGGGGGGGGGGATGGTGATTACTCATTGTCACTGTGCCAGTGATGATATACAGTTATACTACTGTTGACTTTATCTTCAGTACATCATATCGTAGGTTATTTATTGTTCTCTCTTTGAAAGTCTAGTTCATAAAATTATTGTAGTTGTGAAAGTGGAATGGTGGGAATATGTGTCTGGGATGGACCAGGGGTAGGAGGAGAGGTTTTATTGTGATACAAAAGCTTGAATTGATAAGATGAAGAAAGATAGTTGAAGCTTGGTTTAATTCTTTTACTTTTAT